GCTCTTCACCATTTGGACCCCTTTCCCTGCGGGAGGAGCGCCTTGGGGCGCCTCAGGCCTCCCGGGGACCTCCTCTGCTCCCCTCTCGTGGGAGTCGAGAGCCGCCACCACGCCACCCAGAAGGGTCCCTCTCGTAGGGGGCTGGAGGAACGAGGCAGGCCTTCCCTTGGGATTCCCTGGCCCTCCTCTGCCGGCCGCGGGGAAGGACCCTCCCTCGACCCTCTTCGCTACCTCTCCGGGATGGCTGGCTCGTCCATCCTGGCTGCCAGGCCGGGCGGCAAGCTGTCCCCCAGGAGTCTGTAGTGCCGGGCCCACTGGGCAGCCACCTCGAGGCCAGCGTAACGGACCAGGAGTTGCACCAGCTGCTCTTGTAGCCACTGGTTGTCCTTGATGATGCTCTAGAAAGCAAGGAGAGAAGAGGCGGGTGACGGTGAGCAGGGAGGCAGCCTTGGTGGGTGGCGTTTGGGAGTCAAACATCCCAGGAAGGCAGACAAGACCCGGAGCTGACCCAGGTCAGGGAAGGCAAAGGCGAAGACCCCCCTCCTTGGGGGCTAGATAAGCATTTTTGGAGCTACTTCTAATTGGGAGGGGGGGGGGACTGTGGACCTCCAATCCAGCCATGAGGGAAAGGGAAGGTCTTAAGACTTGCCTGCCACTCATTTTGCTTTATGCTTTCACGGAAAACCCTGCTTTAAGGGTTTATTGTTCAATCTCTATTGCTTCAATACTTTCCCTTAAGCACCTCCTCCACCCCCAACAGCCCCTACTCCCGTCTTCTTTGGGAGGATGAGCTGCCCAGGAACATGCATGTCTGTCCTTCCTCTCCTTCCGCCTTTCTGTGTGTGGGATTCCCCAGAAGCAGGCCAGCCTGAAACTGGAGCCCTGCATCGGGCGGCCTTTCCCACCGTTCCGGTTTTGTTTTATGGGTTCAGCACCGGAGGCGAAAACACCGGCTGGGCCGCATTCCTCTCTCTCTCTCTCCAGCGACGAAGGAAGAAGACACACAGGTAACGTGTGGGAACCTGGCCTTTTCCCTGCAGAGCCGCTGAGGCAGCAGGGCTGGCGCAACCCAGTGAAGAAGCACCAGCTGGGGGGGGGGGGGGGGGGGAGCGTTCCCTCCTCTCTCCTGCTCCGGGCGACGCTAAGGGGGCGTCGCTGGCTCCAAGCCAATCAACCAGGCGGCCTCTGGCAAAAAACGGAGGGGGAGAGGGGAATCCAGGAGGAGGAGGAGGAGGGGCTAATGGACAGGGGTTGCTCGGAAGGGCCCAAAAGGTGAAAACAAAAGGCCACCCCCTGCAAGGAGTAAGGGAAGGCCGTCCCACTGGGGCCAGGGAGGGGGGCTGAGGGGGGCCTAAAGATCACACTCTATCCCCCAACACCCTGAGAGGCACAAAGGCTTCCCTTCGCTTTCCACCCAGGCTCTTTTCCAATGGGGGGGGGGGGGGTTGCTTCCCCCCTGGCAAGGGGCCCCCTCCCCTTTGGCTCTGCCCCAGCCCCCCTTCCGCGGGGGGGGGGGGCTGGGGGCAGAGTCCGCAGCCCCCTGGCCACTCTTTTCTTCACCTGGGGCCGCTGAGTGATTTATCCCCTCCCCCCTCCAGTAGGGAGACCGAGAACAGCCTGGGCAACCCCGGATTCATAACCCACCCGCCCTCTCAGCCCGGGGGTGGGGTGGGATTCCTCCCTCCCCTTCCCCAGTTGCGGTCTGGGCAGCCTGCTTGCTATGGCCCCCATTTCAGCCGAGGTTGCCCCCCCCCTTAAGGCGGAGGACCTGGCACAGCCCCCCCCCCCCTGCTACTGTGGAGCTCCCCTGGGGGATGGGCAGATGCCGCCCAAGCCCGGCTGTCCCCCTGGAGCTGCAAATTAAGCCGGAGGAAGCTTGGCTTAAGACGTTCATTTGTGGCATTTCCCTGGCTGCAGGCCAAAGCAGCACAGAGGAGGTTTGCAAGATCCTTCCCAAGCAGGAAGGCTTCTTCGCAGAGGCATTTTCTCCCTCTTTCCAACCTCCCTTCAAGGCCCTTCGGTAAGCCCTGCCAGCGCTTTCTGTCGTGCAGCCGTGCCCCAACGCTTGGCAAGGCAGACCGAATGCCCTCAGACACTCCCAGACTGGCAAGGCGTGCAGGATTCCCCCTCGGCCCCAAAATTAACCCCCTTCAAAGTCCCATGGCCACGTTGGAATAATCACGTCACGGGGCAATTCCTGAGGAATGCCCCTCCAAGCGCAAGGGAGCCCAGACCCCCTCCAAAGGAAGAAACCCAAACCTGTGAGGTCACTGTGTGTGCCCAGAGAAGGAAAGACCGCGACACGACTACCTACAAGGGTGGAGGAACGGGCGGTTGAGGGTGACGGGATGCCTAACTTCTCCGATTTAGAGAAAAAGCATTATCTGCATTGATGGCATGGACCTTTGGCGTAAAAGTGTGGCCTGTGGTGCCGACGATGAGAATTGCAGACGTTTCACCTGCTTCAGCGCAGGAGGCCCGAGGCAGAATCACCCCCCACTGCAATGAGCCAGGGTTTGTTTCCACCGTTCCCCGCAGAGCAATACCGCAATAACTGCTGTGGGCGCCCAAGCCAAGCCAGCCACAGGGACCTACCTGGCCGGGAACAAAAATCGCACTGACCTGGATGTGATCGGACCAATTTTCTTGCGTCATGGATTTCTGTAAGAGACGTTGCAAAAACACTGCGGTGAAGACACTGGACTGGAGCCTCCGTGGCCTCTCACTTCCCACCACGTACCTCAACAAATCTCTTGTGGAGCAGGTACTTCAAGGTGCCCAGGTGTCGCTGGTTGAGAATATGGGGACAAAGCACTGGGGAGGGGAGAGAAAGGATGGGTCAGTGGAAGCATGAGAAAAGGGACCAAGCAGGGCTCATTCAACCACCTGCCCAGGTCTTTCAACCCCTGAGCGCGACTCTTTATTAAGCTGCCAAGGTTGGAGACCCCTGGTCTAGTCAATGGAAAAATAACCATTTATTTCATAATCCTGAAGGACGTGCAGGGTCCGGCCAGAGGTTCTCTTTGGGCAGAACCTGGATCCTCGTGTTGGAAACCGCTCTCTCTGGTCCCTTCAGACTGTGGGACCCCAGTTCCTCCCACCTCTCTCAATCGGAAACAACCCCAGACTCCGTCCGGCTCCCAACCGTCCCCCCAGAATGAGGGCTTCCCCCCCACGGAACGTGCCAGGCGTGCCCACCTGGGTCCAGGCTGTACTTCTGCAGCAACCGGAAGGCCACTTTATTCATCGCCCTGCAGTTTACCTTTTCCGGCCACTTGCCAGGCAGGGCCCGATACTGTCTGAAAGGAACCCAAAGCAGGCGGAGGGAGTCAGTCCGGCCAGAGAGATCCCTGGGCCTCTGGCCAGGGGGCCTTGACCCTGGGCAGGGAATTCCCCTCGGCCACTTAACGAAGGAGATGCCCCTGTGCGTACAAGGCACACACGTTCCCTCTCTCCCCTCCCTCCACGTGCTCCGATTCATCCAGGAGCACAGAAGACATATTCGCAGGGCTGGGATGCTCTCGGTTCGCCCCGGTTCTATAGAACTGGTAGCTCCGAAGAGCAGCAGACACCAAACTGGTTCGCTGTGACAACTGTCCGGTCGTCTGTTTGGCTCACCCACCTGCCCGGGCTTTAGGCTGTCCTTTATCTCGTCAGCTGGAGCGCTTTTGAAATTGAATTCATTCTTTTGAAACTGAATTCACGTGGGAGCAAGGATCTGGAGCACGTGTGTGTGGGGACCTTTGGGGCCTTTGACAGGTGCTCGAGGGAGGCTCCCCTTCCTCACGTCAATTATGAGCAGCGGTAAAGTCAGAGCAAAAGCGACGGAGGAAGAGGAAATAATGTTTACTCACTCTGCGGAGCAAATTTCGGGAAAGTGAGCAGCTATTTCCTTTTTTGCTGCAGGAACAGCTGGCTGCGGGAGGGGGAATGCTGCTCCCCCCAAGAAAGAGGTCCTCCCCGGGTGGGCTCCCAGTAGCCCCCTCACCTAGCGAGGTCTTTGATCTGGAAGCCTGGAATGGACCAGGAGTCCAGGAGTTGCAAGAGGCTCTGCTGTAGCTCAAGGCTGCCTTCCACGTAAGCTTCGATGACTTCCATTTTGTCCTGAAGCAGCAACGGGACGCACACCTAGGGCACGGAAGGGGGGGAAGGCGCACTGGCACTCCGCACTCTCTTTGGCCCAAAAGGCTGCGGGAGAGCTACCCAACTGGGCTAAACAGCCCCAAATGCTCCGTGTCCCTGCAGATGGGACAGCTAGCACTTCAGGGAGAAGCGGGAAGGACGTCCGCATTGCGCACGGAATTTTACCTTCTCAAATTCCAGGTCTGGTTGCAGTTTCAGTTTTATACTTAAAATAGCAGCCTAGGAAACAAGGAAAGGTGGGAGGAAAGTTCATAAAGCAGTGCAAAGAGTCAGCAAAAAGGGCTTTGTGCAGGGGTGGGATTCTACCAGTTCGCGCCTATTCGCTAGAACCGGTTGTTAACATTCGGAGAACCGGTTGTTAGAAGAAATTACTGGCCTAATCCTGTAAGGAAGGCAGGAAGGAAACATTCTGGTGTTGCTTACAGAAACTGCCTCTCCGTTAACCCTTGTTACATTCTTGCCAGGACTACACTTCCTGTCTCAGGAACTTCTCTGGAGTTTTTTTTCCCCTTCCTTTGTTGGTACTTTGCTTGTGTGGAGTGACCATTCAGTTACAATGGCACTGAAAAAAGTGACTTATGACCCTTTTTCACACTTACGACTGTTGCAGCATCCCCACAGTCATGAGAGGCCAGGCGAGGAGATGCGTTCCTCCATGTGAGTGATATTGAGTTGGCCACGCCCAGCCAATAGCATGGCCACAAACCACACCCACCCAGTCACATGACCACCAAGCCACGCCCACCACCTAAGCCACACCCACAGAACCGGTAGTTAAAAAAAAATTGAATCCCACCCCTGGTTTTGTGGATGTATATGCATGCACACACGGGCTGGGCCCGCTGGCATTTTTCAAGGCAGCTCCTTGGGGTTGGCAAAAATGCTCCCTCTGGGCCCCTTCAAGCACAGCCAGAGGGCACCCTACCCCCTCTCAGCGCGCACACATTTCAGAAGGGGGCTCATCTCCCTCCGTGGGACGTTGGCCCCAAAGAGTTACCCAACATCTTCAAGCACCAGGGACTGACCCCCCCGCTGGTACTGTCCAGCTGGGCAAGGAAACATCTGCAAGCAAACAGCCAAGCTCCGAGGGCGTGAAGAACTCCACCCGTGTTATCCACCTCTGGTAGGGCTATTCCTGCGTGTGCTTGGCCCAGGAGCCTCTCCTGGCCCTGCCTTGACAAACAAAGCTTCCCCCACCCCAGAGATACTCGGCCTGCAGGGATGCCCAGGAAGTGCTTGTGAGCCCAGGGGGGTCTCTGGCCATTCGTTTGGAAGGGCATAAAGTGACCCACCCTCCTTTAAACATACGGGGTATTTAAAACTGCAGCGCTCTTCCACGGCTATCCCGAGCCTCCGTAACTTTGCCCCCTCTGAAAAGCTGAAGACAACCAAAGAGGGGTGGGGGGGGAAATGGAGACCCAAAGCCATTCCCAGGCTTCTATTTTGGAAATGAGAGTGAGAGGAGGAGGGAGGAGGCTGGCAAGACAAAAAAAAAAACGGAGCAGCCTCCGTGCCGTTGTTCCCTTGCTGTTATTTTTACATACCCTCGGGACTGGTTGCTGCTCTCTGGAATCCAGTGGGAACCAGCGAGGGCAGCTGAGACTAAGTCAGCCGGTAAGGAGTGAGTGGGATGCTGCACCCATTGCAAATGGCTGACTAGCCGCCCATCTGCTTTCCTCTGTGGCCAGGGAGACCACCACCAACCCGGGGAGACCCTCCCCCCCTCTCACCCTTCCCTGCGCCCTTCCCTTCTTTCTGAGCCCGGCGATCTGAGGATAAATTCTTTCAAACTCTTTCAAAACGGAGCCTCTGGGTGGGGGGCCCTTCCTTCCTCCCCGCTGTGGATCTGGAGTGGTTCTGATTTCGGTCCCCCTTCTTCCTTTCACAAATGTGCATCATAGGGCTGCAAAAGGACATTTCCTGCAGATCCAACTTCCAAATTACTTAGCTGAAAAGTCTGACTGAGGAGGGGAAGCATTTGCCTCTCGGAATCCGAAAGGCCTTCCAAACGGGGGAGAGACTTTCCCCAGGCTGCACCGGTAGCCAGGAGGGAGGCCTCCACTTCTTCTGAAGGGACCAGAGCAGCTGAAAAACTGCTCCGCTCCAGGTAGCCCACAGAAAGACACCTTCCTCCTCCCAATCTCAAGGCACAAGCTGACACACACACACACACACCCCGCGCTTTTAAAAGGCACAGATATCTTTTTTTTTTAAACCTTTAGGAGCTCTTTAAAAAATGTAAATAAAACAACTCAACGGACAACGGAGGGTATTCAGGCCACCCCGAGGCAGCCGCCGTTCCTCCAACGTGAAATATCGTGACACGTTAAGCCACGGGGCCCCGCCAGTCAAAGCTGAAGGGACCTTCCGTGTCCTTGGCGACATCACGGGGGCACCGAAGCACGGCTGGTGATGGGAGAGCGGATTTCATCCTTCTTGGTCTGCCACCTTCACAGGTGTGTGTGTGTGTGTGTGTGTGTGTGTGTGTGTGGGTGGGTGGGTGGGTGTGGGAGGGAAGGAGATGCCAGAAAGGGCTGCTCAGGCAGGCACAGAGAGAGGCCCTTGGAACAGCTGGCTGCAGTTAACTCAAGAGGGACGCGGACTCCAGTGCCACAGCATTCCCAAAGGAGCCTGGTAAGAGGGGGCTGCCCCCCTCCACATCCACCCTTCTGCACCGGCCCCCACCTGCTCCCCAAGGCTCCTCCCAACACAGTCCCAGAGGGAGAGCAACACTGCCCCCCAGTGGCCAAGCGAGGGCACCTCACCTCCTTGAACTTCCCCTGCTGGCAGAGCTGGTTAACGAAGGCCAGCAAACGGTGATAGTCTGCAGTGTGGAGCTGGTAGATGCTGATCAGGGGCTGCAGCAGGCTGGCGTGGCACCTGGCCAGGCAGGTCAAGAGACGAGCCTGCAGCTCCTCCAGCTTTAAGCCGGACTGAGGGAGGGAGGGAGAGGGAGAGGGAGAGGCTGTGAATTCTAGGCCCAAAGCAATCCAGGCTGAAATTGGGGAGACTGAGGAACGGGGGGACCCCTCTTCCCGCTCCAAGTCTGCGGGAAGTGCCAAACTTTGAGGGAAGTGGCAACCAATGACACCTGGTCACAAACGGGGGGGGGGGGGGGGGGCCCTGCGACCCATTTGAGAGGCGACAGGGCAAGGCCTCTGTGTCTCCCCAGTCTTCCTTGGACGCCCACTCAGGGCCACGGCGCTGAGGACTATGCCCCAGCTGAGTCCGGCAGTCCCCTTACCGGCTGATCCCTGGCATGGCTCTTTATCCAGCTTTGCAGCTCACGGACAATGTGGGTCAGCAAGCCGGGCCCTCCCCAGTCCGTGGAGCAATCCAGCACATCCAGGAGCCAGGCCCACGGGTCGGGCAGGCTGGCGAAGCCCAGGCGCATTTCTTCTCGGACCTAGAAAAAATCCAGGAGGATTCTCGACTGGCTCTGCTCTGCCAGCCCACGGGCCACGTATCCCCCGTGGGGCACCCAGCTTTTGCGAGGGGCCAACTTCCCAGCGAGGGAGAAAGGGAGCGAGCCCAAGCTGACCAGCAGAATTCCCCCACCCACCCACCCCCATGGTGGGAGATTACCAGTTAACCAAGCAGCCCCCACCCCACCCCCCGCTGGTCCCCAGAGGGCCTGAGCAGATGGGAGCAAGAGAGGGAAGAGGGTGGGTTATCCCCACCGGGGGCAGGTGGGCACTGCAGCAAATGCGTACCGCTTCTTGTACGATGCTTTATCGAACTCACCTTTTCCATGTCCTTCCATACCCAGAGAGCCTGAAGTTTCTGGAGCAAGGGGTCTTGCTCTGGAGGGAGAGAAACAACGTGTGAAGCGGTTCCCTTCCACCCGCCAGGCCCAGGGCTCCCACATACACGCTTATGGCCTGGCCAAGGACAGCCCTCCAGCCCTGCTGAGCGTATCGGGGTCTCCTGAAGAACAACAGCGATGCCTTTCCATCGCTCAACTAAATGGCTTGCAGAAATAAAGGCCCGCGGGCCAAAACCCTGGCACATTTTCACCATGGGTGGGGTGGGTGCTTGTTGCAATGAGCTGCCTTGGCTAGCTGCTGCTCCAACCCGAAAGGCCCCCCTGGGAACTCGGGGCCAACAAGAGGCCAGATCAACCGCTTCTGGCCGGGGTTGGGCCCTCTGACCTTCTTCCCTTCCAGGAAGTGCCGCTCCGCAGAGACCCACCTCCGCCTCTCCCTCCTCTCCAAGAAACACCCCTTGGCCTCCCGTTCTCCCCACGTGATAGAGCAGGAAATGCAGGCTCAAGTGCCTTGGCTGGCTGAGACGTCTCAGGGAGAGGGCAGCCCCGAAACTACCAGTTCTCCTGAAATCAGCCCACTGGACAGGAGCTCTCTCTTTCAACCTGCAGTCCCCCGTCCCCCCCGGAGGGTGGTTGGCAGGCTGACTCTCAGGGGACAGGGCTGGGAAGGTGCCAGGTCCGGTCCCCAGAGTTTGGGGTGGGACAGCTGATGCTTCCAGTCTCTGTGGCCTGGGAGATGCTGGGCAAGTTAGCCCCTGACAGGCAGCCACAACTCAGTCTAGCCAGGATATCCTCTTCCCACACGGGGTGGCGGTGGCGGTAGCATCTCACCCTGCAAGTGTGGCTGTCTCTGCTTCTCAAAATTGGACATCAAAGAAAGGGGGTTTAAAGGACAGTGTGAAAAAGAGGAGCGTGAGCATGTGGGGGACTTGATAGCTTGGCATCAAGTCCCCCCACACGGGTGTGTTTGTGTGTCACCCAGAGATCTGAACAATACGGCTCTGGCAGAGAGCAACTCCTCTCGCTGGAGCCTCTGCCTGCAAAGGAGAAGAGGGAACCAGGCCTTCAGCTTGGCAGGCTGACAGCCTGGGGCTCCAGGCTTTTAATCTGAAGAAGCAGCCCCCTCCCCGCTGCCCCCAAATCCAGTGTTTGTCTTGGAAACAGCTGAACAGGGGGCTGCCTGTTGCAGGAAGGACAGACAGACGGAGGGTGACAGGCAGAGGCGACCCCTGGACCGATCAGAGGAGGGAGGGCTGGAGAACAGGAGAGAATCCAAGAAGGCAGCCAAAGTTTCCTTGGAGTGCTTACATCTGGTCGAAGCCTGCAGTCTTCTCAGACTGTGGCTGGGCGAGAATTTCCTGGGACGTTTTGCAAGTATTCACGGCAGGCTTCCTCGCCAAGGGCTTTCTAAACTTAAAAACGTTTTTTTCCTACTGAACTTGGCTTCTCCGAGCCATTTTTCCTGTACTGTACTCTCCCCACCCACCCACTCCCATGGATATCTCTGTCCTACCCGCCACACATTCTACAGGACTAATTCCTTTTAGGACATAAACTAGCTATTGCCCAAAGAGAATTTAGATTATTTTTCTCCAAAGGTCTCCCGGCTAAAGCTTATTTTATGCAAAAAATAGATAGGGGAACCTGGCATCCCCTCCCCCCCCCCCCCCCCCCGTCCCTGGAATGAGAGGGCCAGAAAAAGGGGCCTGGGGTGTTGCTGTGGACTCTCCCACCCCCTTTCCCCAAAGCCAAAAAGAATTAGAAAAGCTTTCTAAACATGCAGGAGGGAAGATCCAAACTTGCGAAGTCCAAGTAAAAGGGGAGGGGGGTTCGCACCAGTGGCTCCAGGAAACCTCTGGGTCCAACTGCAGGCGACTAAAGCCCTTCCGTGGTTTTAGAGGGACTCATTTAAAGGAGGAGGCCCTCAGCCCTGAAATACCTACTTCTCTGCAACAACTTGACTTTGGGGTCAACCTCACATTTCAAAAACTACCTATTGGCTGGTATCTAAAAACAGGGACCTCCAGAAGGGAAAGGACCCCCACAAGGAGCCAGAAAAAGGAGGAGGAGGAAGAGAAGCTGGGCCTCACCACTGGAGTTGTGACTTGGGAAATCTTCCACCGAGGTGTCTTCTGGGGGAGGGAAGACAGCTGCCCCCTCGTCCTGGAAGCAGGAGAGAATTTGGTTATTCGCAACAAGTGGATGACACCAAATGCCACCTCGGCTACTGCCAGCCCTTGGCGGGAGCGTGGGATAGCCTCATTCCAAGGTAAAGATTCAGTCTGAAGGCAGGAGGAGGAGGTCTGTGCTTGTTGGGGAAGCCGGGAAGAAAAACTGCTGAGGAGGCGTTGAGGGGTGGCCTCTCCTTGATCCCTTTCCAGATTGCCTAAATGCGGCTTCCTGGCCACTGCCGAGATGCTGATTAGCCCAAGGCCCCCTTACAAAAGAACGGTGGGGCACAAGTCCAACTCAAGGAACACGACCTGGTGGTCATTCCCTGCACGAAGCACAGGAGGTCAAAGGCATGTGTAGAAGCCTCTGAGCTGGCATTTCACTGGCACCAGGATGGGTCAGGCATGGCCTCTCCAGTGAGCTAAAGGCTTGAAGAAATGCACTGGGAGCCAGCATTTATTCTTGAGAAAACAGCTGCACGGGGAAAGAGAGCCAGATGTTTTCCTGGACAATTGCTGAGTGTGCTGCTTTTTTTTTTTCCTCCACTTTGAGAGTTTAACTTAAAAGAACACACACACAAAAATTAAGATGCGCTGCTGCTTAGCTGAAAAATTAGGAGCTGCTGGGTGCGCTGCCAACGGAGGATTTCCAGGGGTGTAGATATTTTTTTCCCCCCTAAAGTCCTGTAGTAGAACACAGGCAGCCTCTGAAGCTGACATCTGTGATCCGTTTAACATTTCTTAGGGGCTACAGACTTCAAAAAAAAAAACACCCACCCACAAACCACATGAAAATGTCCAGTAAAGCCAAACCACATCAAAACTCCTTGACAAGGGAGACTCAGCCAGCTGCTGTTCTCGGTGGGGAGCTCTTAGAGGATCTACTTCGCTTCCAAACCTCTTTTGGTGCAGCTCCATCCAAACTCGAAACCACCGAGAGAATATGCCCATCCACCCTGAGACACAACCAGATCACCACTGGCCCAAAACTCACAAACTCTCACAAAGCAGACACACACACACACAGGTGCAGAAACATCCCCGGGTCTCAGCTGCAAGGCTCATCTGGGAAGGGGGCTCTGGGGGCTCTGCCCTCCAACCGACTGGACACCAGACTCAGGGGAAGCCCAACAGATGCAGCCGAGGAAGGCGGCCCAGCCAACGGTGCTTTCCGCAGAAAAAAGGCCCGCAGCCTCCGTGACAGAGGCAGAGAGAGAAGCCCGGGCAGGGCAGGCCTGCTGGGACCGCGGAGGAGAGAGGCTGGCCAGCCCCCCGCCCGGGCCTTCTTCTTCCTCCTCCTCCTCCTCCTCTTTCACCAGCCGTTTCTCCAAGGAGCCCAAAGGCGACCAGGAGGCCGGAATGGAGCCGGCCGCTCGCTCCGGCTCCGGCCCTGAAGAGCCAGGGGAGAGCAGCCCGAGGCCCGGCTGAGGAGAGGGCCTGCCGCGGGCGTTGGGTTTCTCGACCAGGGACCGGCCTCCCTCCGGGGCGCGGGGCGTCGGGCACCCACCTGCTCCCCGGAGGCCTCCAGCCTTCAGTCCGGCGGGGCTCTCCTCGCCCGGGGCCCCTTTCTGGGAGAGCCGAGAATTTCCGGCCTTCGGATTTCCGACGCTTCCGCCTCCCGCGCGCCCTTTCCAGGAAGCCGAGCGAGCCCAGAGCGCGACGGGCCCCCGCGGCGCCCCCTTTCCCCGGGCCAGGCGGGCCGGAAGTGGCGCTCCGCCCGTGCGCCGCCCAAACGGGTCCCCCGGGCTCGGCGAACCCCGGGCGGAACCTTCGCTCGGCGGCCGGCGGAAACAACGGCCCCGCGAGGCAGGGCGGCGGCCGGGTCGGCGGTCCTGCGCTGCCCCCTCGCGGCCGCCCCGGCGGCGGGATGGGAGGCCGCGAGGGCTGCCCCTGGGGACCAGGCCCGGTCCCTCCGCCTGAAGGCCGCTCCCCAACAATCGTCGCCCGGGCGACGCGGCCGGCTCGGCCCGCCCAGCCTTGTGGCAGGCGAGGGTCCCCGGAGAGCAGCAGCGCTGGCCCACCATGACAGCAGCCCAGAGGTGCAGCTTCTTCCCTCAGGAGCCCTACTACGTCCCTGGGTGAGCCCGCGGCTGGAGGCCTCTGGCCGAAGGAAGGCGATTTGGTGCCGGTCTCCCAGCAGAGCTTCCCCCTCCAGGAGCAGTCTACCGCTGTGCCCAGGGAGGCTGGAACTCGGGAAGGCTGTGCCAGCTACCCTCCGCGGCCTTCTCCTTCGCCTGTGCCCCTCAGGGAAGCTTTTTCTGACTTAAGGATTAGCTTGCCTTTCTCCCCCACCCACTCACCCACCCTGCAATTGCTTCCAATCCCTTTTCCTTTTCCACCCCTTTTTAGGGTGGAATTTGTGACTTCAATCTCTGAATAAAATGGCCGTGGCAGATCTCTTAATAATATTGGTGCCAAACGACTTAAACTGATGCTAAATTAATCCCGTTTTTCTAGCACGTTCACGTGTGGATTCATTTTCCTTTTACCTGTTTGTGCCTCTTTAAGATATGGAGGCTTTTACCCCCAGGTCCGCTACCATGTTGGGCAAAGTTACGGCAGAACCACCTCCAGGATGCTGACCGACCCTGAGGTCCGCAAGAGCCCGTGCTCCGTTCTCACACCTTTGAAGAGACCCAAGTTCACAGAAGACTTCAGCCGGCAGAAACTCCCTGCACCAGACAGGATGGATCAGGGCCAGTCGTACATCCCGGGATACACAGGTGAGCATCTGGAAGAAAGTGGGCAAGAAGGCTCCTGGTGTGTCCGGGACTCCTGTTGGCTCTACTGCTCTGACTGGACTAAACAACAGTAAATCGTAGCACAGTAACGCGGTCAGAGCTATACAATTGGCCAAATAGTAGAAATTCAGAGGGAAATTTCATCCTATCACCAAAAAAATCCTTTTACATCCCACCCCACCACCACCCCCAAAAAAACCTGGCAGAGGAAAGCCCTGCTCCAGAGTAGCACTCCAGGGGTGGGTGATATCAGGAATTACCCAAGGGGCTTTCTGCACGTGGGCAGGGCTTCACCCCAGCTGCCAGCCCCCATCTCTATCTCCACCGTTTTGCTGGCTCTGTAGGGAACCCCGGAATGATTCCCCCCACTGGCTCCTTTCAAGGTTGAATTTAGGATGTTGGTTTTCTCCTTTTATTTCCCTTTCTAGGATTTGTACCCTACACTGGTTGCTTTCCTATTCCAAGCCAAGATTTGCAGCTCCCTTTGCCAAGGGTTCTTCCCCGGCCTGACCCTCCTCTGTGGACAGAGGGCCATCCAGCACCAGCTCACAGGAAAGTCATCCCCTGTCATCCCGGCATCCGGTTAGCCTGTGGGCCCGGGTGGAGGCAATTTGCAGCCACAGCCAGCTCACAGCTGGTCTCCCCGAAAGACGAGCGAAGGTTTCTCTGCCACCCGGACATTGCGCTGGTGTGTGGTCAGGAGGAAGTCCGAGGACCTTGCAAGGCTGGCATGTCCTTGGTGTGCGGACAGGGCTGGAGGGGGCCTCCTTGCCGCGCAGGTACTGACCAGGTAGGTGCTTAAAAGCAGACCATGAGATAGAGACCAGCTGTAATGAGCAGACCACAGAAAAGAGGCACCAAACTCCTGGGGCGATTCCCATCTGTGACCAAAGTGCAAATAGCAGTCAAGGTCTTTGTCCAATCTCAATGGTAGACAACTCTTTCTGATGGCGTTGCCCCCAATGAGTGCAACAGCATCTGTAAATATTGGGTTGGGAGTCTTAGGTCTATCCCATTACCCCTGAAGCCAAAAGCCACAATTTCCTTATGAATCTGCGCAGAACATGAGACCAGCAAGAGGAGCCCTTCTGACAATATTCATTTGCACCTATGGGAAGGAGTCTGGGGTGTTTTGTTTTACATTACTCCAAGAAACTTACTTACCTGGAGCTAAAAGTGGTTTACTGGGCCAAGGTCCCTCAACTGGCTATGTGCCTAACCGGGACTAAAAACTCATTTCCCAGTATTTATAGCCCGAAGTCTTAACAGCTATACCAGCGGCTTCCATTGCTTTGAAAGGTAGTTGCATGTTTCCTGCAGAAAGTCAGACACAATTATTTTTTTGTTCGTCTCGCAGCCAACCAGGACTGAAGGAGTGCCTTTGCCACTGGCAACAGAAACAGTGGATGTCAGGCGGTTTGACCGGATCCCCAAACTGGATCTGCCCAACCTCATTCAGCGAAAAGCTATCTCAGGTAAACTATGGGCAATGGTGAGATAAGAGCGTCGAGTCTTCCTCTCCTCACATAGAGTGCTCTCTTTAACCAGGTTAGAGAAACTGGATCAGAAAAAGCATTGAAACCCATAGGGCTTTCCTTTCTGAAACGAACACATTGAGCAATGAAGCAGTTTTTGAGCTAACAGAATACCCACCCCTGCCCCAAATCTTCCCGATGCCTCAGCCAGTCATTCCCCCCCCTCCATCTTCAGCAGCTTGCTCCAGCATGCCAATTTGGGCTGGGAAGTGTTGGATGGAACACCTGCATTTGCCTGATGCCCTCCAGGCATGCCAAAGATGGCCAGGATTTCTGAGCTGAAGCATTTGTTGGAAGAAGTGAGAGCAAATGTATGCCCCGGTTACCTTCAGACCCTTCCAGATTCTCACTAGGCAAGACCGATTTTATAAAAGCCACAGCCTCACACCCACCCTTGTTCTGGGCTTGGAAGGAGTAAAAAGGGGTTGTAGCTGCAGCCACTCTGGGTCCTGAGCAGCTCCCTGGAACCTTTTTCACAGGATATGCTGGATTTATCCCATGCTTCACCTGGGTTATGGGAGTCAACTACCTAAAGGGAGTGAAAGATGCCATGAATAATTTTGATAGAAACCAGGTAATCCTGGGATAGGGAGCAGGGGGGGCTGGGCCCATCATTCCCCCCCACCCCCAACAGTCATGTGGCCAGGCACTGATGCTGTCTGGAGACAAATGGGTCTCTAGAAATAATTTCTCACCTAGGGAAGACTCCAAGCCAGGAGTCAAATTTAGCTGCAAGGCATCAGCTTTCCTAACACTCAATTGTCCTTCCTCAGGAAAGGCTGAGAAACCCTATATATAGTTTTGGACAGCGCCTGCCACACACTTACTGGCCCAACACAAAGATCTACAACAGCAGAGGCCTGGTTCCATTCTACACCGGGTTTGTGCCAAGTAAGTGATGAGACCTGTCAAGCTAAGACAAGTTTCTCCCCCTCCCCATTAGCTCCTCAGGGCTGGTTGAGATCTGTTCAAAGTAACACATTTGCTCCCAGGGCCTCTGGCTACACAGAACTGAACAAGCTGAGGTCATTCAGCAGCTGCAATTTGGCAGACAGATGCTTAGCGCTGGTTATGAAATATGACGAGCTAGGAGAAACTGCAACGCTCTTTGCCCGTCTTCTGGCCAGTAAAATCCTTTGTACCCTTTCAAGAGATGCTTTTCCTCTGACTGCTTCTGCCTGCTGAAGTTTTCCTTGCAGAGAAAGAATGACGCCTTTACACCCGTTCCCTCTTTTAAACATTCCACTCAATCCTGTGTAGCCACATGAACGAACCAGTTGGAGCATGCAGAGCTGCTGACTTGGGGTTTTTCTTCTCCCCAGCTATCCGTGAACATTATGCCCTAACTTTTGGCAACAGCACTCGGAAAGCTTTCTACGATGAAGTACAGCAGAGACAACATACAGGATGAAAATGTTTTTAATGTCCTTACAGCATCAGACAGGTGACATAAAGAAGACGCAGAACACATAAACAGAGGTCTTGAACAAATAAAAGTTTGTGACACCTTTGAACAAACAGGTGTGACCCCTCCCCCAGTCTCTTAAGCTGCTTCTTCCTCTGCTTCCTCTTCAAACTCACCCTCTTCCTCAGCTGTTGCATCCTGGTACTGCTGGTATTCCGACACCAGATCGTTCATGTTGCTTTCCGCCTCGGTGAACTCCATCTCATCCATACCCTCCCCAGTGTACCAATGCAAGAAAGCCTTGCGACGGAACATAGCCGTGAACTGCTCTGAGATGCGCTTGAAGAGTTCCTGGATGGCGGTGCTGTTGCCAATGAAGGTGGCTGACATCTTAAGGCCACGAGGAGGGATGTCGCAGACGGCGGTCTTCACGTTATTAGGGATCCACTCCACAAAGTAGCTGCTATTCTTGTTCTGGACATTCAGCATCTGCTCATCCACCTCCTTCATTGACATGCGCCCACGGAAAACCGCCGCAACTGTGAGGTAGCGCCCATGGCGGGGGTCACAGGCTGCCATCATATTCTTGGCATCAAACATCTGCTGGGTGAGCTCAGGCACGGTCAGGGCACGATATTGCTGGCTCCCACGGCTCGTCAGAGGAGCAAAGCCAGGCATAAAAAAATGTAGCCGAGGAAAGGGGACCATGTTGACTGCCAGCTTGCGCAGGTCAGCGTTTAGCTGGCCTGGGAACCGCAGACAAGTGGTCACTCCGCTCATTGTGGCCGACACCAGGTGATTGAGATCGCCATAGGTAGGAGTGGTCAGCTTCAGGGTCCGGAAGCAAATATCATACAGGGCCTCGTTATCAATACAATAGGTCTCATCTGTGTTCTCTACCAGCTGGTGGACTGAGAGAGTGGCATTGTAGGGCTCAACCACAGTGTCTGACACTTTGGGGGAGGGGACAACGCTAAAAGTGTTCATAATCCTATCCGGGTACTCTTCACGGATCTTGCTGATT